TAAGGAAACAAGGAAACATTTTGGAAAAAAAAAATTTGAAAAATTGTTCGACGCACCCTACTTTAAAAGAAACCATAAAAACTATATATCACTGAAAAACTTATAAAGTATGGAACAAAAGTTTTAAAAAGTTTTTTTCCCCAGCAAATTTAGTTTCAGTGTTTTCTCTAAATAAAGAGTAAATGAAATGAAAGTTTGGAAATTTGACCGGATCTTGTTGACAGTAATCTCAAATCAAAACTCACAATTTCAAGGCAGTAACAAAACAGTTTTTTGTTACTGCCTTTGCTACATTACAAAAATGAAGAAGCCGTTTGTTCGTTACGGCTGAAGGAAGACAAAATCATGCTGCTTAGGTCTCTAAGGCAGGGTAATTAATTTATTTTTAAAAAATGACATGTAGTTGCCCTTTTAGTATGACCTGAGCAGACGCCGGTCCCTCGTAAAAATGCCGAGTAATCAAGTCGATTTTGAAATTAACGCAGGGGTCACATAATCGAAAGAAGTCGGTCACGCTGATTGCAAAATGAGAAACTTTATAAAGCGAGACTACATTTTTCAAAATAAACTAACAGTGACGTGGCTTGATTAAATTTCCTGAACTTAAGAGTCATCAGATATATTGACAACTGACATATTTGAACGTTAAGTCAAGTACATGCGTATTCAAAGTGGGGAAACTTTGCATCGATATATTGGTTGAAAGCGAAGGTAGTTCATTAATTTTATCTTGCTTGACCAATACTGTTCCAATGCTGGACTCACGCTTAAAGACCAGCGGTTATGTGTTATAAGTAGGTCCAAAATTAACGACCAATTGCCTAAATTTAGATAGATTTTGCTTTTTGGATATTTCTCAGATATCATTGGCTAATTTTCAGCTGGTTAAGATGTCACTTTTTTACCTATGTATTTTCTACCTTTCTTCATTTCATTCGCTTGCAGTTTATCACTTCCCTTTATCGGAAAAGTAGTTGAGATCTCCGTGCTTATCTGATTAAGTTAACAAATTCTTCCAGCTTT